ACCGCTCATATATGTTTACTTCAAATTTCTTTAGAGAGAAGTAGACTATTATTTTTCCTATTTATGTTCAAAATAGGACTAAGTGCACATTAGTAGGCCCTAAACACATGTAATGTCTGTTTCACATATGCATCAACTCCACATATGCATCATATGCCGCTTTTCCACGGCACGGTACGGCTCGTTTTGAACGAGTGCACCTTTTTTAACAACCAAAAAGTGGCTGTTTCGTTGTCTGTTGAGGAAGTACAGACGTTCCTCTTGTTGATAGCAGAGGAGCGGATCCAGCGAGAGCTTGATGGGGCGATGCGGAATGAAAAAGTTTTTCAGGAGTCGCGGCAGTAGAGGCGGCGCAACTATAATGACATGTGAATAATCCCACCCACTCTAAAGTGAAGTGCAGTGGAAACGCAATCCGAGCCGAGCCGAGCCGTGCCAAACTGAGCCGTGCCGAGCCGAGTCGTACCACGCAGTGGAAAAGCGCCAATAGAAGTAATAGAACTCATGACATCCCAGGAAATCCCTAATATGGACACAGGCATCCAGCTATTGCTGTGACTGAACTACTTTACTACTGACACTGCGTGATGTACAGCACCAATAGATGGCAGTTATGCTCTGTTTTAGTATGTGATCTTGTAAGAAGACGCTGCGCTGCTTCAGTCCATTGCAGGTTCACAAAATAGAATATTGTTGCGCTACACCGCTATTTGCTGGAAAAAGTAGTTAGCTACTGGAAAAGCTACATTGTGTTAAAAGTAGCTGAGCTACTGTCAAGCTACAGAAAAATGTAGTTACGTTAGTAGCGTCGCTACTCCCCAATATAGCATTATAGGCTACTTTGACCTCCTCATGAAAAGTGTGGAAGATACAGTCATGAAAAAGTGATTTTTATGAGATTTACACACAGTAAATGGTGAAAATATGTACAATAAGTAAGATTTTTTTTGAACATTTTTCAAAGAAATCTCTTCTGCTCACAAGGCTGCATTCATTTGATTAATAATACAGTAAAAACAGCAATATTGTGAAATATTATTGCATTTCAAAATCACTGTTTTCTGTTTGAATGTATTGTAAATAAACTCAGAATTTACAATATATCATATCAGAATTTTGACTGTCTTTCTTGCAATTCTGACTTTACATCTCGTAATACCCTTTTTTTTGGCATGAAATAAAAAAAAAGTAAAACCGTAATTGTGAATTTATTTTGCATTTCTGTCTTTTTTCTTGTAATTGAGAGTATATAGCTTGCAATTCTGAAATTTTGTGTCACAATTCTGACATTTTTCTCAGAATTATGAGAAAAAACTGAAACCTTTTTTTATTTTTTTTATCCTGTGGCAGGATAAAACAGTTATGCTGCTTCATATTTTTGTGAAAATTTTGATTATTTTAAAAAAGATTCTTTGATTAATAGAATGTTTGAGTCAAAAAGAACATCATTTATTTGAAAGAGAAACTTTTTGTAAGATTATAAATATCTTTGCTGTTTCTTTTAATCAATTTAATGCATCCTTGCTGAATAAAAATCATACTGACCCCAAACTTACTGAAATATTTGCCTGATTTGGTCGCATGCCAGATCTCCATTTCAGTACTTGAGACTATTTATGCATAAAAATAGTACATTATCATTTTAAATAATTTGTGCATAACCTAATTAATATTAATGAGAAAAGCCTTTGCAATTTCATGAAATCACACTTCATTTACTTACTGTATGTGCAAATGATAGACATTGTCATGCCCATCCAAAAAAAAATGCATGCCATTCGAATTATCCCTCAATTGACTGTGCTTTGAAAGGTCAGTAACAAAAAATTGAAATGATTGAACTCTGTTAAAGTTGAAATGATTGAACTCTGATGGGTTAATGCTTCGCACCATCAACATGAGTCATGTGAAAAGACCTCATGTATCTGGATTCATGCAGTCGGTGGTTTACAGAAATTTGTTCTGTTTATTCTCAATGCTCAAAGCTTGTCAAGATGTCTCAGCAGGGTGATGCCGCTCAAACGCTCACTGAAACATCATCATTCATGGCTGCAGTGAAGAGATTTAGACCCAGTGAAAGAATTAGAGAAATTAGAAAGTTCCTCACACATCGGTTCCCAAGAGCACGAGAATAAAAAATGGTCTGATTTTGTTTTCTGGCAGTAGAAATGGAAAACAAAAGGTTCTAATTAATCAAAGTGATGCGGGCAGATGTGAAAGGTTCTGAATTACTACTTGAAACCAAAAAGTTCAGTCCTGTCGCCCCTCTGTCCACATTTGTCAGCGGTTTTCATCTGTGGAGGGGAAAGGTTTCCTGTAAAAGCTCTGCTAAAATACTGCTCTCAGGGTCTCTGTGTGTGTGTGTGTGTCTTTAAGTTTGTATTTCTGCTCTCAGTGCTGTTATTTGAGGCTTAAGCCGTTCAATTTTATTAGCAGCATGTTGACTGACCAAACCTGTTCAGAGATGGGCTGTGTTTAAAACCACATACTAGTTACTCCTACAAGCTGACTGAATAAACATTTCACAGATATGCACATTTAAAATTTACATTCATTGGCTATTCTGGGAATAGCATGCTACCTTTAAAAAAAATTAAAATAAAAAGTTCTGTATATGTATATTTGTCATTTTTTGCATGCATGCATTGCTGAAATGTGCAACAGAGACCATTGTATTCCATAATGCAGTGCCTTCTTGAGTTTTCATTTCCATGTGATGAAATAAACTGAAAATCATATTGGCCATTATTTTAAACATTTAAAAAAATGTTTTGCCATTATTTAAAGTTGCAGTAAGCGATTTCCGAGAAACACTGTTGATATTTGAAATCACCAAAACAAACACGCCCCTACCCAAAAGGATCTCGATAGCCCCGCCCCCAAAATCATGAACATGCTATGCAACACTGGCAACTCCCTCATCATGAGTGAACACACCCCTTACTGGTGACTGGCTCCAGGTGTGTTTTGGTGCTCAGTCTAATCCACTTTCAACAGCGTTTCTTTAATTGGATTGCAAACAATAGGTGCATTTCCATTACAGATTTGTGCAAAACTTTGGCGATATTTTCTGAATGTCGATAAAAAAGTATTGCGAAATGACGGCGTTTCCATTAACCAATGTTATGCGGCTAAAACGTAACCTTTTGCCTCTCGCGAGAAGTCATGGCAACGGATTTGGTGGGATTTTGACGGATTTTGGCTATATTTATTCAAAG